TTTTTTTTTTTTTTTGAGACGAAGTCTCACTCTGTAGCTCAGGCTGAAGTGCAGTGGTGTGATCTCAGCTCACTGCAAGTTCCGCCTCCTGGGTTCCAGTGATTCTCCTGCCACAGGCTCCAGAGTAGCTGGAGTTAACAGGCGCACGCCACTGAACCCAGCTCATTTTTTGTATTTTTAGTAGACAGGGTTTCACCATGTTGGCCAGGCTGGTCTTGAACTCTTGATCTCAGGTAATCCGCCCACCTCGGCCTCCCAAAGTGCTGGGATTACAGGCGTGAGCCGCCGCACCCAGCCACAGCCTGGTACATTTATTGTCCACATTTTTCATGCGGGAGCCAGAGGCACAGAGAGGCCAAGTAACTTGCTCAAGGTCACCCAGCGAGGAAAGGTGGGGGAGGGGACAGGGCGAGGCCAGAGAGTAATGGGAGGGGCAGGGGCGGTCTTTCCCGGGTACCCTCGGTCCGGGGCCGCCCTTCTATTGGCCCCAGTCACTCAGGCTCCCAGGACCGGCTGGGGGCGGGCGCCGCGCCAGGACGCTTCAGTGTCTCCGTTTTGGGTGGGCACAGCACGCCTCCCCCGCATCCTGCTGGAGGACCAGCCTCTGCTAGGTGCCTGACACGCAGGGGACAGAACGGAAACCTTGTCCTGCTCAAGTGTGGACGTGCATGCCACGTGCTAGAGTAAAATTGAGGTGGGGGACCTCCATCCCTGGGACATGGAGCACAGGGGCGGCACCGCGCCGTGTGGTCAAAGGAGGGCCGAGGCCCTGCAGGAACAGTCCACAACCAGAGCGAGCTGCAGTCACTCCACTGCCTGTGTCCACCTGCGACAGGTGTGCCCGCGCACGCGGGGCGGAGCCAGGTGACCCGGACACGGGAAGTTTGAAAATGCAGTTCGCTCAGCCAGTGTGGAATTATCCTCCTCTTTCCACAGTGCCTTAGCCAGTGCCACCGTCCAAGTGCACGTTGTTGGCGCCCGTTTTCATTTCCTGTTTTGCTAAGAAAGTGGGGCAGTGGCCTCCATGCCTGCCAAGGGACAGGCAGGATGCCCCAGGGAGGAGTCTCCCCTCAGCTGTGGCTCTTCCAGGCCAAAGCCAAGGGGAAGGGGCACCAGAGAGTCCCAGGTCCCACATGCCAGCTCTGTCAGTCAGCTGGACGCCAGGCTAGGACACAGAAGCCAACAGGAATTCCCAAAGGGAAGCAGTGCAGTTGGGGGTGTGGCAGCCCTGCTGAGATGCTCGGCCTTTATTTATTCTGTGCAGGGACCAAGATAGGCCACTGCAGGCCGGCGCCCTGCCTCCCAGCTGCTGGAGCCCCTTCCTGCCAGGAACTGCCCGCTGGGGAAGAGCCTCAGGTACTCTCTGGCATTTAATTTTTAATTCTTTCTTTTCACGCCTCCAAGACAAGTTCAACTCTCTAGCATTTTAAATGGGGCTTCTGTAAGACAGCTGGCAGGTTTAGGGCTTCTGAAGAACTTGCATGTCTATGAAGAACTCATGTATTTCAGGGAGAAGTGGGGGATGAGGATGAAGCCAGGCAAACCCCCCCCCGTTCAGCCTGCCAATCACACCCACTTCAGCAGCCTAAAACAGCACCAGGTCACCCCACCAGGGAGACAGTGCCATACTGTCACTTGCAGTGGTGGCAGATGGGCACCCTTGGTTGCATCAGAAACACATCAGCACCCTGCCTGGAGCAACAAAGGCGGCTGGGCCCTGCTCCATGAATCCCAAGTGCCCTCTGGGAGCCTCTCCACCCAGGGACTGCCAGCCTAGAGGACGGGCTGCTGGGCTCTCTGGTGCCCAGCAGAGGAAGGGGCCTGCAGGTACTTTCCGTTGAGAGCCTTCTTCATTTACTAGGAAAGAGTTCGGCTGGGTGCGATGGCTCAGCCGGTAGTCCCAGCTACTTGGGAGGCTGAGGCAGGAGAATGAGGTGAACCCTGGAGGCGGAGCTTGCAATGAGCTGAGATTGCGCCACTGCGCTCCAGC